CTCAGTGCCCTCAGAACCCACCCTGACACACACCACTCACACTTCCCACAGCACCCTCCGTGCTCAGTGGTACGTGGAGGTTATGACTTGATTCTCTGCTCTCTGTCATGTGTCCCTCCAGGGTGACAGTGGGGGCCCTCTGGTCACTTTGAAGAACAGTGTCTGGTGGTTGATTGGAGACACGAGCTGGGGATCTGGATGTGCCCAGGCAAACAGGCCAGGCGTGTACGGAAATGTGACAGTATTCACAGACTGGATTTACCAACAAATGAGGGTAATTTCCCACAAGCCGCTCCTCACTGAGTTCTCCCTGACTGGTTGTGCCAAAGCCCAGATGATCTGAGGGTGGTCATGCTGCCAGGAAGCTGACTGCTGACTACCTCTGACAGGATGCTGTCTTGGTTTTTATGGCCTCATGTCTGCAGTTAGCACGGTTTCCCCCTCTCCATTAACGCCCCATCACTGAAAGCCAGTGCTGTTGGCGTGCCAGCCTGTGGTGCTTGATGAAGAAATCAGAGCTCAGCTCTCCAAGGCCCAGAGCCAACAGGACTGTACCCGGGTCTCCTTAGCGCTCTTCTTACTACCCTTGGTTCTGGTCCCGCTTACCCAGTTACCCTCCCAGACATCATCGAATCAAGGTTTGGATGATAGGCAGAGTGGAGAGTGAAGCAAAGCAACCATTGAGTCCTTACCCTGCCTCTTCCTTTTCCGTGGCAACGAATGAGGCAGCTCCCAGTGTTCCCGGTGGGGTGCCGCTGGAGGTCTCTGGTACCCAGACTTGAGAACAAGGAAAGGTGGTCGTGAGGTGGGGGTAGACCCTGGGGCTTCTCTGTGACCTCTGCCTCTCAGACTTATTTAGCTTATAAATGCCTCGGGTCAATCTCAGAAAAAAAATAATTCTACCCTTTTCGTGATTTAAGAAAATAACATCAGTTTCTTTTTCCTTTTTGAACAGGCCAATAGCTAATCCCTATGTCCGTGAAACCACTGCACAGGAAGCTGGAAGGCTGTTTTTAATTCCCGGCGCTTTGTGTGTTGTTATTGGTGATTGGAAGGTCCTTTCATTTTTATTAAACAGTGAACTTGGCTGACTGGGCGCTTTCCACAGATGCTCCTCTGGGGCCCGCTCTCCCCCACATGGTGTGGGGCCCCTGACACCTGTCCAGAGGGGTGGCTGGCCCGGCTGGGCGTGGGCCCCTGGGGTCAGACACATCAAGGCCCGTGGAGCCAGCGCGGGGAGGGCTGGGGGTGCCCTGCTGGGGTCTTCCTGCTGAGCCCACCACGAAGCCTATTTTGGGGAGAACTGGGAGATGGGGACCTCTCAGCTGCTGGACGGCTTGAGGCAGAACAGGAAATGCGCCCCCTGGAGAGAGATGCGGGAACTGCAGGCCCAGGAAGCCCCCCGCCCCCGCCCCGGGAAGCCCCATGCCTCCCTCACGCCAGGCGTTTGCTGGTCATTTTCAACGCCTTCTGAGCAGCCCCAGACGGTGGCTGGAGCTAAGGGACCAGCCTTCATGGGCAATGGTGTGATGATCACCTATAAGGGCGTCAATGACCTTTTTCTTCTTCTTGTGTGGGCGGAGTGTGGACGGAGCCCTTGGAGCAGGGAACTGATGGCAAAACACGTTCACCCCAGACCTCCCCCACTCCGAGTTCCTGACCAACCACTGGCCCACGACCCCTGCGTGTAGTGTAGGGGGCTCCGTGGGTGGAGACAGCCTTACTCCCCGCCCCTCTCCCTCCCAGCCTCCTTCCAGATGGCGCATGCTCCCTGGGTCCTCAGAATGGGGACCATTGGGTGCCAGGCTGACCCTCCTGTTAACCACGTGGACGATTGAGGGCACCTGGGCAATCAGGGACGCCCCATTCCAGATGCACTGTTTGCATGCAGCGTTCCTACATGTGGCTACCTCAGTGCTCAGACGGAATCTTTGCCTTTTGACGCCCACAAGCAGTTCACCTACGCTCAGCTCTTTGAAACTGTTCTTGTCTTTGCAAAGCAGGAGTGTATTTGAGGTACTTCTTCACAATGCCTGACTTCTAACGCCATGTTAGCAAATGAATGTGCTGAAGAAAGTCACCTGTGTTTGTGACAAAGATGAGAAGGATGTGTTCGGGACTCCCAGGCCCTCTCCAACCCCTTCATTTCCACTGCAGGGAACTGTCCCTTGTTCATTGCCAAGTCTGAAATGTCAGTGCTCTTACCTGAGGACTACTTTCCATGGTCCCACCTCCTTTCCAAGGGCACTGGTTTTCAAGAATGAAGTGAATGGTTCTACCGCTAGGACTTCCCATTGAAATGGAAGGTCACGACAGCGTCATGCACATAAGCTTTGAGGCTCGGGCAAGAATTAGCAGACACGCTGCCCTGCAGGGTGCCCGCTCCCCACCCCAGGTGTGAAAACGCGTTGTTGTGGTGGAAACGTGTCTTCTCCAGTGCTTCCTTTTATTTATGTGACCCGCTGTTTGTCTTCTGTTTTGTATCTTTTTTAAACTGTAAATTTCAATTGTGAAATATCCTGCTAATAAATTATACGATTTTTTTCCCAAATATTTATGGAATCGCTGATGTTCACCATGGCGAGTGATTCATTCACCATCCTGCATTTCCTTGTACGGGAGTGATGTTGGGGTGGTCGCTGTGCGGCAGAGGCAAGGGTGGGGTGCAGGTCAGAGAGCACATGGATGGGGGTGGGGGCTGGGTAGATCTACTCTCTGTTTGGTCCCATCTGCTCCCAGGGATGCCCCGAGGATGACCCTTGAAAGGTCATCTCCCTCACTCCCACCTCGCTTTGCTTCAGACCCAGACCCAGGCTTTTCTCCCTCAGATCCAGCCAAACCAAGCCCAGATCCCACCCCCTAAAGCTGTCTCCTGAAGTCCCTGCTAGCTCAATGGTTTCAGAGCTGCCTCCTTCAATCATCCCAATCCCGTTGCCCTGGAACCGTGACTGGGTGGGAGAGGAGGAAGTGGCGAGCTTTCCCCGGGCTTGAGAACAGAGATCTTTTCTTATTCTTTGCACCCCCTAATCCAGCAGGTCCTCAATCCATGACAGGTGACTGGGTCCTTTATGCCAAAATGTATAAAAATTACCCAAAAAAAAGTCGTAGTTACTAAAAAAAAAAAAAGCACACATTTTTGTGTTAGACAGTAATATCCTTAAATATATCCAAATGTCCAGCTGAGCAAAGCACTTGACATTGTTTTCAGCTCCATATTCCATATTAGAACTACCTTGGGAGGTGATTTTTCTTTTGGGTGATGCTGATTTCAGTGAAAAGACCCAGCCAGGAAGCTAAGAGGCTAAGGAAATATTGATATTTTTCTGTTTAAAATTTTATTAGAGACAGATTGATTTGCTTCATGTAAATTAACCAAAAATGCTAATTCGAGTAAAGAGGATGCACGTTAGCTGCTGTGAGTAGGTGTTTAACTCATGGTGACCCCAGGCACAAAGGAAAGAAGAAACGCTGCCTGGCCCTGCACCGTCCTAATGATTGGTTGTAGACAGGACTGTTGTGATCCACGGGGTTTTCATTGGCTGGTTTTCACAAGTAGATCACCAGGCCTTTCTTCTTAGTCTGTCTTAGCCTGGAAGCCCAGCTGCAAGCTGCATTATAGCAACACACAAGCCTCCACAGACAGGGAGGTGGTGGCTGCGTATGAGGTGCATTGGCTGGGAATTGAAGCTGAGTCTCCTACACAGAAGGTGAGAATTCTATCACTAAATTGCCATTTCCCTCAGAGGAAACACATGTTAATAAAAGTGTGAGATCTGTGATTTGTGATGACCCCTTTGTCACTTCTTGCAGCTGGGTAAGCGGGTGGTCCCAGCGTTGCGGCACATGATCCCCTGACCTGCCTCTTGCCAAGATGTCCAGGGGGGCAGTCCTGCCTTCCTTGGGGTTCTGTCTGTTCCCAGCTCTGTCTCTCGTTCTCCTGAGACTTCCCGATTGATTCCACAGCCTTTGCCTTCACCCCAAGGAGACCCCCTTACCCCCACCCGGAACCTGACTCTTAGGAGCCGCACGCACCCTGGCTGGCGTTGATCTTCCATCCCACACCACAGACCTTGCTGCTTTGGACTGAGAGAGGGTGATGGTGTGTTAAGGTGACGTGGCCTGGTCCATGGCCCACATTCCTGGTGCACCCAGTGTTTCAAGACAAGTTCTGAGGCTTATGTTACTTCTAAAGTAACGTAAAGGAGGCTCTGGGTGGTGCATTCGGCTGCTAACCGAAAGGCTGAAGGTTCGAGTCCACCCAAAGACACCTCAGAAGAAAGCCCTGGCGATCTATTTAGAAGGCCTCCAAATATAGTGATGCCCCACTTCCTGTGCTTGTTCCCTGGAGAAGCAGCTGTGGGCTCCGTGTGCACATATGCACACATGGGTCATCTTTGTACACGGTCAGATTTCGGTGGTGGTCAGAATTTGGAGGTTCTTCACCCTCTCACCCCCTGCATTAGTTTCCTAGAGCTGCCGTAACAAAGTCCCGCAAGCTGGGTGGCTTATAAGCACAGAAATGTATCATTGCACAGGTCTGGAGGCTAGAAGTCCAAAATCAAGGTGTTGGCCTTGTTAATTCCTTCTGAGGGCTCTAAAGGAAAGTCTATTCACGCTTCTCTCCTGGCTGCTGGTGACTGCTGGCCATCCTTGGTGTCCTTGACTTGCTGGTGCATCCCTCCAGTCTCTGCCTCCAGCTCACATGGCCGATTTCCCTCCGTGACTCTTTCTGTGTCTCGTCTCCTTGTTTATGAGGACATCCCTTGGATTAGGAGCCAGTGTACTCCAGTATGACCTCATGTGAATTGATAACATCTTCATGGATTTTCCATTGCTTTCCAACAAGTGTCTGGTTTTCCAGGAAGCACAGAAATAAAATGTTAGGGGCTGTATTGTATTAGTCTCCTAATGCTGCTTTAACAAAGGATCACAAAGTGAGTGGCTTTAAACCACAGAAATGGAGTGTCTCACAGTTTGGAGGCTAGAAGAATGAATCCAGAGTTTTAGCAGGGCCACGTTGTCTCCGAAGGCTCCAGGGAAAGATCTTTTCTTGTCTCTCCCAGCTTCCAGTAGCCCCAGGCATTCCTTGGCATTCCTTAGCTTGTGGATGCATCCTTCCTCTGTCTCTCTGAGTCTTTTCTCTGTTAGAGGACATAGATGGGACTGGGACCCATCATACCCCCGGTATGATCTCATGTTAACCAATAACATCTTCAAAGACCCTATATCCAACAAGGTCATGTTCACAGGTACAGGGGTTAGGGCTTCAACATAAAATTTGGGAGATACAGCTCAACCCATAACAGGTTCTCCACACCTCAACTCTCAGGTTTTACCATACGCCAGACTACGTCTATGCCCCGTTAGCTGTCGACTTTTACCGACACCTCGAACACGTGGAACCAGAGAGAAAACTCAAGCTGTGAGTCACCAATCAACCTAAGTCCAAATTCTTTCTCCTCTCACAATCATAAGTTGTTAGGATGTCTTATTGATGGTCAAAGGAGGTGACATTATCTTCCCAGTAGATAAATCTATTTGAATACTAATATCTCTACAGAAATGTAGTAACACGTGTTATTCAGTAGTCAGTTTTCTGGTGCTCTCATTAGCCACAAACTCAGATAACCAAAATAAATATTAGCTATTATTATGATGATAACAGTCCCCGGGTGGCGCAAGTGGCTGAGCACTCAACTACTAGCCAAAATTGTTAGCAGTTCAAACCCACCTACAGGCAACTCGGAAGAAAGGCCTGGCGATCTGCTTCCAAAAGGTCACAGTCTTGAAAACCCTGTGGAGCACAGTTTTACTCTGACACACATGGGGTCACTATGAGTCAGAATCAACTCAACAGCAACTAACAATCACAATATAAACAAAAAGTTATTATGAATTCAGCCAAGTACTATAGTCCTCAGTATAGTACAAAGCAGTTTTAGAATATAAATGCCAAATTTCTATGCATTCTAAGTCAAGTCTAAAAAAACAAACAAACCCATTGCCATCAAGTCAATTCCAACTT